ACTGAAAAGTCAAACTTTGACTTTTTGGTCAAATTCAAGTGCCAAGGGTCATAATTCATCAAAACATGTCAAAATATGAAACTTGTTCATCAAGAAATCAAGAATTCAAGATTTTATTTTGAAAAGATGAAATTTCTTAACTTAGAAATTTTTCTAAGTATAGAAAAATTCTTATTTTTTCACAACTTTGAGCCAAATTTCCACCATGATGCAAGATGATTCAAGAGAAACTTCCAACATGAAAGTTGTAGATATACATGAAATATACAACTTTTATTCATACAAATTCTTCCAAAAGTGCTTGGATCTCAAGTTATAATTTCAAGAACATAGGGTCATGAAACTAAACACTTAGTGAAATTTTGCCCTAATTTGCCAGGATTTTAACCTAAGTTCATGACACTTTTTCATATAGTTCCAAGGATAATCTTCAAAAGAAATTCAAATAAGAGTTTTGGAGCACATTGCAAGATTTCCAAAATGTCCAAGAACTCCTTGAGATCATTCTTGAGTAGGGAGAATCGAAGAGATGAAGTTGGTGTTTTGTCACTTGGATTACAAGCCATTTTGTGAAGAACATTGGATCCAATATTCAAGCATGTTGTACAAATATCACTTTGCAGGCTTCTAACTTTACTTTCACTCCATAATTAAATGTTTTCACAACTGTTGGAAGTTTTAATCCAAGCATTTAATGTATTGTACAAATTTAATTCCATTTTGGGAAGAAAGGCAACATTGCCATTTTAGAAAAGCAAGCTTTATGCAAAGTCACCTTGCATTGAGCCTTGCATTTTTTATTTCTGCACAAATACACTCTACACAATCAGAACAAGTATGTTTAAAGGTCTCAGCCCCCCTACAAGCTTTGTACTTCACATTGAAACCATACTTGCTAGCTTTGCTTCAAAAACAAGTAACCAAGCAAAATATATGAGTTTTTGAATTCTGAGTTGTGACAAGCCTCAAAGCCTCTCTCTTATAAGTATACACACTATTTTCAAGTTGAGACACAAATACGAAGACTCCAAAACACTCCCAAGCCCTCTGAAACTTAGAATCTGTCATAACTTGACAGTTTTGAACCTCACATAGCCATCTCCAAATCCACTCGTGCGTATTAAGTTTTAACCACCCAAATACTTAATATACATCATATCAAAGCAGTCCATACCCTTGTTTCCTCACTGTAACTCCTCCATCACTATCCACCATTTTCAAATATCAAGCTTGCAGGTTGACTTGAATAGAGAGATTCAAGGACTTTCAAGGCAAAGTAAGAGTTGGGATACACTCAAGGAGGTCCAGGCAAGCTAAACAGATCCTCAGGCCATCTCAAAAGTTGCTCAAACTCCATTCACGACTCCAGCTGCAAGAGGTAAAAACTCAAACTTCTATCTCTTCATACAAGCATCATTTGATCCTGATTTGTGAAAACAAAATGTAGATAGCCTTGCTCTAAAGCTAACCATGTTCATAGTTTCCATTTATATTGACTGTACATAGAGAATTTTGGATTTGAAATTTCTGAGAAAATTAGGTTTTAATTTAGGGCCAGCAAAATTAGATCTTATCTTTGATTGTTAATTTACATAAGTTATATGGTTGAATTCGTGGGAAGAAACACCACAACTTTCATGTTTACATTTTCCATTTTCGCTAAGAAATGAGCAAGTTACAGGAACCATAGTTGGAGGTTGAAGATGAAGTCATTTTCAAGACTTGACTTATGTTATGTATTTATCATTTCGCTTATGTTAACGGATGTACAGCCACCCCAGTGGTAAGATAGCGCGCGTTATTGCTAGAGGTCATGGGTTCGAGCCTCAGCGCGCTGCCTTTTTCATTTTCTCACATTTTTCCACATTTTTTTGTCTCTTGCAGCGTTGGGCCTCCACTTCACAAGGTCGAAGACAAGCCTGAAGCAGCCAATACTCAGTCAAAGTCTTGTGACTTGAACTTGGTCGAAGAAGACCCAGCACCCAATCGAAGCTTGTGAAGATGCCAATCAAAGGACACTTTGTTGGCATGCCAATCGAAGGACATTGTTCAGATGCCGATCGAAAGACACTGTTGACATGCCAATCGAAGTACATTATGTTGACATGTCAATCGAAAGACACTATTCTGATGCCAATCGAAGGACACTTTGACATGCCAATCGAAGGACACTGTTGACATGCCTATCGAAAGACACTTGACCATCATTCAAAAAAATTCATTTTCTTTAGGCAAGTATTTGTAACCACCCATGTAAGAGAAGATCTTGGAAAACATGAGAGGGAAAATTTTGGGGTGCAATATTGGGGATCTTTGGAGAAATAATGACTGAACGATCAGTGAAGTCTTGGTACCACATGCATGAGTCTAATGAAGTTGCATTACATTATTTGTGGCATTTCATAATCATTGACTAAGTGATGCTTTATGAATATGTGAATTAATGATGTCTTGGTGATGATTGTTGACTGATGATATGATGATGCTATGAATAAATAATAAAGTGAAGGTGTGAGTATAACACGAAGTATTGATGGTGTATGGTGTTTTTATATTGTGTTGTAACTACTATATCTATTTCTTATGTCTTTTATAATGATTATGATTACTCACCCTTTCTGTTTGGAAATGTTTCCTCTATACGTGGATAACTTGCAGGTGATCAAGATTAGCGCATTGAAGCTTAAAGGATTAGCTTCGGAGTGTGTCATTTATTTATGTTGAATAAGAGGGTCTTACTCTGATATGTAACATTGAGGTTGGGAACGTTTGATTTTGAAACCATTATGTTCATTCGTTTATTTTTAGATTTTGAATGCATTTTTCTTAGTATTTGAAACATTTTAATTTGTGAACTAAACACAATAGAATCGTGATGAAGTTGCTGTGAAGTATTTTTATAGTGATGTTTTGAGACTATAATTCCGCTGTAATAAATTGAATATGAACTTGATGATGTTAAAGAAGTAGTTATGCTAATAGTTTTTGAAAATATGTGTTACAGAGCAGGATGTCTTATATGAAGCTTTTATGAAGATGTGACACCCTTGTTAGTGATTTTATTTGATTTAATTTCGTAAAATATATATGAAATGTATGTGGATTTAGAAGGGTGTTACATATATTTTAAAAGAAGCAGAAGTAAACTGCTCATACTTTGTCTCTATGTAAATTTCATGTTGATAACAGAAAGTTGTAAGAGGGAGATTGAAAACTTCAAATGTGACTTGAGCAAGAAATTCAAAATGTCTGACCTGGATAACATTTCATATTTATTTGATATCGAATTTTACAAGAATAATAGAGGCTTGATGTACCCCAAAAAAGATATGCAGGTGAGATACTCAAATGATTTGAGATGAAAGATTGCAATGCTACTTCGACGCCAACTCAACCAATATTACAGCTGACAAAGGATCCAGATGAAAATGAAGCTGATCCAACTCAGTATAGAAGACTCATGATATCATTAAGATACCTTTGTCGCAAGACCTAGTCTAATATACATTGTAGGTATAGTGAATAAATTTATGCAAAGGCCAAATATATCTCATCTTACAGCCACCAAGAGAATACTAAAGTACCTCAAAGGAACACTATATTATGGAATTTCGTTTCTTGCCGCAGATGAGAGAAAGGAATGCAAACTAGTGGGATGCCCTGGCTCAAGTTGGTGTGGAGATGCTGAAGATAGAAAGTCCACAACTGATTATGTGTTTATGCTAGGTGGTGTTCCAGTAGCTTAGAGTTCAAGAAAGGAACTAATTGTAGCTTTGTCATCGTGTGAGGCGGAGTATATAGTTGTTTCTCTTTGTGCATGTCAAGCAACATGGATGGTGAATCTGATCCATGAGACTGCAGGTGAAAATCATGGAACAATGATCATGAAGATTGATAACATGCCTGCAATCAATTTGGTCAAGAATTTGATTGCACGTGAACGAAGAGAAGACATTGAGATGAGATTTCATTATCTTAGAGAGCAAGTAACGAATGAGAAACTGAACTTGAAACATTGCAGAACTGAGAATCAGATTGCATACATCATGACAAAATGGAATTGTTAAATAGATTGAGAACTATAATGAATGTTTATAGCTTAGACACAATGAATTAGGTGGTGTATTAAATGTAATTTTTTGTCAAGCATGATTGTAAATTTGATAAAGACGAATTCGTATATAATTGATAGAGTCTAATGTAGTTCTTAATAGTTGAATATGCATGTATTCGATAGAGAGTCAAACACAACAAATATTAGTCTAAGATGTATGTATTCGACAGAGAGTCGAATATAGCCTGTCGAAATTAGTCAGTTAGTTATTTTTGAGATTGTTTGATGTGAAAAGCATTCTCATTATAAATAAGAGAGCACCTATTGCTTGAACATAAATGAATAGAGAGAATTCAAAGTTGTGAACTCAGACAGAGAGAAACACTATATTTAGTAGAATCAATAAACATATTCTTCTTCTCTTCTTCTAAAACCTATTTTTCTCTCTTCTCTTCCTTTTTTTCTCTTTTAAATATTTCCTTTTCTTTTCAAATCATTGTGCGAGAGAATTGTCTTGGAACTAAGGTATAGTTGAATCATCGAGTGAAGAGTGAAAAATAAAAATCTTGACTCAATTAAAAAAGTGATTGAATCTTGTTCTATAAAAACTGGTTCCAACACTTAGAAGATGAAGTTCAATCCACTCATCCAACAAAAAGATTCTTAATGCTTATCACAAACAATTAGAGAATCAAAAAGTAATCAATCACCCAAAAATAATTAAAGTGCCAACAAATCAAACATCAAGGACAAGAAATATTAAATGGAAATAAGCCCTTCCATGAGCTGTTGGAATTGCAACCATCATTTACTAAACAGAAAAAAACAAATATGAAACAATAATGAATTGAAATGAAACAAAACTGAGCCAGCAAATAAAATACAATATTCCATTAATCCTTTGGAACAATTAATTATAAAGAGAAAAGATGACAAATATACATACTCAAGGTGTTTCCCGGAAAACTTTCTTATCCATGAAATTGATAAAACGTTCAGCATAAACTTTAGGATCTGTTACTGATATAGTTATAGGATCAAACTTTATTGATTTGTAGATATGCTCTATTTTCTTTTTGATATTATATTCCTGCAATATATCAATTATTCCCATGAAGAGTACCACATCATAAATCTCAAAAAGCTCTACTTCTGATTCTTCCACCTTATCATCTTGAATTAAGCATGTAGCTTGAGCTGGCATGTTCACTCCTAATTGCACTTGCAACCTGAGTAATATCGCGTGCGGCACGAGAACAGTTATTATATAGCGTGTGGCGCGGGAAGAGAAACAATGTTATGAAAGATAATATACCTTGCAATACCGGGAAGTAAAAGATCAGCTTCCCTGTTACCAATGGAGTATGCTCTCAATGGATTCCCTCGTATGTGAGGTCCAGGCGTTGATTTGACAAAGCCGGGCTCGTGTGCAACTAATAACAACCCTTTAGGAATAATCGACTGATCCGCATGTTTGAGTGGACCTGGTGCAAGAAAAACGCGTCGGAAAGATTTCAATGTCGATATGTTAAGTTAGAAATATCTATGTCAAAATGTAATCAATTGGCACGAGAAGAGAAACTTCATATCACATTCTAAATAACTGAAACCGATAGGAGATATTCACCATTTGCAGAAGGTAAAGGTAAACTAGTCTGACGCGGTATTGATCCTTGAGTTTCGACGAATGCCTTTAGATTCTCTGGAGCTCTAAAATGTAATCCCAACAGAAGACTATAATCAATTATGCGCTGAGATTCCAAAAACTTGCAGTCTAGAGAAATTTGCCTGAATCAGAAACATGTAGACTCAGAATTTTCATGACTTTCGCTAAAAGTTGCAATAGCAGGATCTAACAAGTTGGAATGGCAATATATGTTCTACCTAGAAGAACAAAATTGCTACACATTTCTAGATACATTAAGGAATATAAGCAAGATAGATAGATTGCTTGCTATACAAGTTACTTGTGTAAAAATACAAACTTACTTGAACAAGGATTCTCGCAATATTTTATCCATATGAAATTCATATTTTAGATCAAGATCTTTCAATGTTGCATCGCTATTAATTTTTTCTTTGCTTATATATCTGCCTTGAGAAGACCCCTTCAGATCGTAACGGCGGTGGATATGAAGTTCTGTGCAAAACATATTTCCCATGACAACGAACCGTACCTAATGAAGAAATACTTCTAGTTAAACCTGTTAACAAGGTGAAAGAAGTAAAGGCGGATATTAATTAGGTAATACCTTTTTCCCACCTATCACTGTTATTCGATGGATCCCGAAGAATTTTGTAATGAGAGTATTTTCATAACTTCCTACATGATGGTAGTATTTAGGAAGCATATTGAGCAGAACCTACAACAAGAGGAATGAATATGCATGATTATGAAATTCATATATCAGTTGATGAATTCAAATCAAAATAGGTGACTACAAACCTTTAGCTCAGACTTTTTCAGTGTCTTTATCACAAATTTATCATCATGAGAAATAAAGAATATGCTGCCACTTTTTCCTGGAGAAGTTATATCCTTTAGACCAGAGTCGCCGCAAATAGACATCATGTACTCCGCGGCGTCCAATTTGAACATCTCTCTCAAATTCCTGGAAATATATGAAATCGCATTAAGAATATGCTTCTAATCATAAAATCATATTATATCAAGAGCTTATATACATGTAATTCTGATAATGAATACCTGAAGACCATAGGGCAATAATCTTTCCAGTAGAAGTCTAAAGAACTGTGTGGAGGAGTAAATTGTGAACCCTTCTTGGGGAAATACATCCTTATCCTAGCTCTTTCTCCAAAATCAGATGATCGAACTTCGCGCGCAGGAACCGGTGTAATTTTTCCTACAGTGTACCTGAGAATTGACCAAATAGTTTCAAATCAATGCTTCATGTAAAACATAATGCCAGATAAATAACTAAGTACATAACATTTGAAATTTATACCTGATTCCAAGCTGCAAATTAAGCTTCAGATAATAGCTTCGGCGGTTTTGAAATTTGCCCATAAATGATTTCTTTTTTACTTGCTTCACACTAAACTTATTTTGCCTTTTCATCTTATTATGCGGTATTTCTGAAAAATTTCTAATTCTCTCCACAAGTAGAACTCCTTGCATATATTCCCTTTCAAAAACCATATTACTCGTACCAGATGCTTCAGATTGACCTTCATTAGAGGCCTGTGATAACGCGGACGATGAATCACGGCATATACAATCTTCAGAAGAATTTGGATGTTCCCAGTTCGCATCCAACAACGAAGTCCTTAGAGATAAATGACGAGATATTTTCTTTATACCTCTGGCTCGAGGTTTATCAGAGAGACTCCGGTTAATTCTTGGATTCGGAACTTGAAAACTGTTATCATCGCTATTAAGAATGCTACACCATTTCTTTAGAGACGGTTGTTTGCTCCCAACGGGATAGAATGTTCCTTTTCCGTCTTTTAGGCCCATACTCCATGTTCCAATATAAAGTCCTCCATCAGAAAATCGATAAACTCCAGATCCTTCTCTATGTCCATTTAGCCAAAAACCATCAAAAATATCACCATTATACCACTTCATAATCCCTCTTCCATCTATTTTCCCTTTTTTCCAATTTCCAAGGTAGACACTTCCGTTGTTCCAAGTAAATTTTCCACAGCCTTCGCGGATTCCTTCTTTCCATAAACCATCATAGTTATTTGCATTCCAATACACCTTTCGTCCAACCCCGTGATGAGCGTCCATCCTCCATCCGCCTGTGTAAACACAACCGTTTGATTCTGTAAGCGTGCCTTGACCGTGAAGATAACCCCCGGAGAATTCACCCTCGTACTTTGATCCTGATGTCCATGTAATTAGTCCTTTGCCTGTCATCTTTCCATCGATCCAATCTCCTTCGTATATTGTTCCATCTGACCATGTGTACTTTCCGTTGCCATGGGGAAGTAGACCCTTGAATTGGCCAATGTAGACATCACCATTTGAAAGGAATTTCTCTTCAAAACTACACTTACAAGTTAAAAAATCACAATACATTACAAAATACAAAACTTAATAGAATGAGTAAGAAACAGTAATAGTTTCTACGAATATTACCTTCCATTGTCCTCCATAACTTGAAGAATTTCACCGACTTATTTCGATAACTTTAGGAAATGTGTCATTTCTTTTAAAAGGCTAAACATGTCACTCACAGATATGATAAGGAGATTCATCTCTTCCTCCACCCGCTTTATATTGTACCTCACGAAAATCTCTGAAAACAGGTTTCCACACCGAAGAATCAAGAATGTTTTCTGAAATCTTTTCCCACAGAATTCAAAATGCAGAAAAAGGACTATATATGAAGCACCAACATAAACACAGACACCGCACAGAACACCGACATCAACTCGTTCACACTGTAAAAATCCAAGGAAATGAAATCATTGAACATAATTACATGCATGACCGTTTATAAGTGTGAGCAACCGCAGAGGGTCTAAATTTTCTTATGGTTAAATAGGGTCTAATCATAGCTTAATAGGTTGACACAGAAACTCCAAAAACTTGATGTGCTGCTATGAAACCCCCTCTAAAGTTTTACAAATGAAAAAATATGTTACTTTCACAAGAGCTATGAAAATTAAGAACCTCTAAACTTTTCTATAATCATTGTTAAGGGAGTGTAATCAACATCTTAAACATTTTTGTCATCATAATTTGGTTATAGTCATTCAAAAAAACCGCATCACCTCATCCGAATATTCCGAATAAAATCAATATAAAGAATCTAACAAACCAAAAACAATACATTCAAATTCAAACCATACAGATTTCAAAGTTCACACCGATCGAGAAACAATAAAAACCAGATCAACACACCAGTATAGAAACTTAAAACTAGGACTGAAAGAAAACACTAAATTGAGATGAGAAAGATTGAATTTGAAGTGACCTTGACAGAAAATTAAGGAATAAGCTGGAACTAGGAAGAAGAAGAAGAAGTCATTTGAAGCAAGATAAATGGTGAAGAATAGAATCGTTGATATGGAGGTGTCTTTATAGCCGACATTAACCGCGCCACCATATAAGGTAAATAAATAAAAAACATGATTGATTTTACCTGTACAGCTAATATATAGTACCATCATGTTCATATAATAATGACAAACAAAAAGGAACTTGTCTTGTCTCTCGTACCTCACTTTTTTTTCTTCTCTTTGACGGTTATTCACTCCTTTCTAAATCATTAACATCTAATAATTAAATCATTTTAAATACCATATTCATTTTTTTCAGTACCAATAATTTATTTTATATAAATTGAATAATCTTGATGTATCTGTAATTCACGTTGGACTGAATTGATTTTACTAGAATTAAATTTTAATATAATTGAGTTTAATAAAATTAATTTATATTTTAATATATTTACGTAAAAGTAAATTGAATAATAAATTTTAAGATAAAAACCACGTCTACTTAGAAATTATAAATTCTAATTTTTAATTTTTAGTATAATCAATTATAGAGATATAATCAATTCTATTTTAAAGAAATCAAACATCTTAAAATCAATTTAGAATTAATTTTACATCGTTAAAATTATTTTTAACTATTCTAAACACTGAATCAATCATGTTATTAGTGTTGTTTTAGTCCTGTTAGAACATGATTATCGTCTGCTGCACTACTGTTTCTACATAATATTCAATGTCATGCTGTTAAAATAAATGGATAATTGATTCAAACTTACGGTTCTACATTTGCAACCGTTGTCAAATGTGAGAACGTTTATACACTCCAATTAAGTGGACCATGATAATAAATTAATAAATAAAATTGTAAAAATGTAGTTGATTTGTTTTAAATGTGGGACCCATTTTAAAGTGTAGTGGGATTCATTTTAAATTTTTTGATGAGTTAGATAGATATTTGAGAATTGTTTAAAAAATTGAAAAGTATAAAATAATATAAAAAATTGTGTGAGTCTTATTTAAAGAATCCAAATAAATATGATGAATGTAGATGCTCTTAATGTAATAGAGCTTGAGTAGCTGTGTCACGGTAGAGTTTATAATTTTTTTATACAAAAATGATATTTAAAAGAATTTACAATTTTTTCTTTCAAAAATTTTGTAATAGGATTCAGACTAAAGTCTATGATTAAATTGACAAATTTTATAGATCAAAATATCAAAAGGAATTAATTTAACTTTGAATTATTAGACTTAACACTTGTGCATGCGTACGAGATTAACTGTAAGAAGGGACTGATTGTACGAAGGAATATGTGTATGGACGCATAATTGTTTTTGATTGAAAGAAATAAATGTTTTTGTTTTATGTAATAATTTCTTAAAATCATCCGTGATTATATTTTATATTTCATATTAGGTAAAAAATGATAATTGTAACATCATCTAAACATATAAAATGGTTTATTAATTTTAACATAGCAGTAATTATATTGAACTATAGTAAATAAAATATTCTTTAGAAGGTGTGGAAGTTAAAAACAAATAACTGATTGAAAAGTTAACAAATAACTTAAAAACAACCAAATTTTATAATCATAAAAACAAACTTCCACATAAACAATCTCATCTTTGTAGCAGAAATTGAATTAAAGTTTACAACACTAAAGATTAATTCCTCCTCAAAGTAAACATACATGAATCTTTGAAAACTTCGGATTCTAAAAGATAATACATCCCTCAATGTGAAGCTTCTTTTTCTTGGCGAATTCATATCAACATCTTCCAATCAACTTTCCATTTTTTTTTACTTTCAGAATTGTTCCTTTTAACATTATGAATTATATAGTTGTAGGATTGATCACTTTCTACACCAATCAGCTTAGACTTAATTACGGTTGTGGACTTCAATTTTATCTTATTTTCGAAATTAATCTCTCTATTGAAAATCAAACAATTTTAGTTTTTCTATTACTTTTTTGCAGTGAAAAATCGATCAAATGTCTATTTTTTTAATTTTATTTTTTATCTATAAAGTTCTAAAAAAAATTTTAGATGACCATTTGTCACATTTTATAAATAACACATCATTTAAAAATAAATACAACATCATTTTTAAGTGAAAAACATCATTTTTAAGTGAAAATGTGAGAGGGAGATTTGAAATTAAAAAAAAAACTAATTTTATAAATTAAGTAAAATAGATGAATAAAAAATGTAATTAATCTTAATTATTATTATATAAAATATTTCAAAAATATTAAGTTTTACATTATATTTAAATTATATATTTATGTTTTGTACTTGTCAAAAAGTACATAATGTGTGGCACCCCTATGTTTCGCTTACATTATCAATTATTTTTTGCTCATGTTAGGGATGAGATATTTATAGAGGCTTATGGACCTAAATTTAGAAGACTCCTAAGAAGTGGTAACAGGTCCACCTTGACTATAGGAATTATTGACTGCTTACTTCTTAGAGAGTCGTAGGCATTGACTTCGCGTATGCACTTATGGACTAAGTAAACATCATTATCCACGATTTCCCTTAAGACGAGCCCCCTGCCATGTAAGAGTTATGATTTAGGAGCCACATTGTGGGGCGGCCACCTAGTAAGGGAAGGATATGTGTCATCCCTTTTATGGACCTTTAAATATATCACTACACAGCTCATCAAGCACGAGGGCTTGTAAAGGACGAAATGTTTTCAACTTATCATTTCTTTCAATTGAAACCTTTAGTTATGGGTATTCCTCACAATTAGAAGCGAGTCACTCAGTTAGGGTAAGTCATCACCCCTCTGCTAGGTGGCTCCTAGGTTACTCATGTGTCGGCTATGGGATGTCAAACATTAGTCACTCAACGTAAGTGTTTGACTTCATTAATGTACGCATTAATGGTTTAATCTCAAATGCTAAATAGTCCAAGACTTCATATATGTCAGAAACATGTTAAGCTCCTTAAAGGCTTTTAGGGGGAAGCTGAAAGGATTGTTGAACACTTGTAGCTTTAACTCCTCTATAAAATACTTGTGCCCCTTACCATTTCTTTACTTAATTTGCTCACATAACTCTTTACAAGCTTCTTTTGGGTTTTGCCCGCACGATCTTTTGCAAATTTTCACTGGTTCTTCTCATATTCGCAACCTTTTTCAGGTACTGATTCCTTCCATCTTTCCCTTTCATAACTTCTACGATTATGGATTTTAGACAAAAGGCTTTCTAGTATGGCTTTAGGCTGGCGCAAAGTTTTAGTTTTGTGAGAACGATGACTTTAGTAGTTCTATTAGCGAGTTTGATGGTGGTAGTGATTTCTTTTTGTTCTTCAATGTTCTAGGAACAAAGAGATCATGGATGCATCCTCTGCAATGTATAAATAGGCCAAAGATATTAGATCTTCTTATATCACCGAGGAGAATATCATCTTCTTTTAGAGAAAGGTTAATGTATCTTCTTTAGAAGATAAAGAAATGGTAGTTCTGGAGACATGTTCACCATCAGAGAGGGTTGTCACGACCATCCCTCCTGACTCTTCCTCTCCTTATTTCTATTTCCACCTCTCCCTCATCAAGGACATGGTGGTTTTTTTCCCCTCCTTTCGAGGTTGAAGTCCTGAGAATCCTTAAGATAAAACCCTCTCAGTTGGTACCTAACAGTTGAGGCTTTGTTAGGGAATTTGAAATGGTGTGCCAAGGGATGGAAGTTTCCCTTTCCAAAAGAGGATTGGGTAACCCTAGGTGGCCTTTTGGGGGGAAGGCATCGTTCAAAACCTACTCCAACCATTATAATAATTGGAAGGACATGTTTGCACAAGTGTCAGGGCAAGATGGTTCTCACCTTTATTTGGGATAGATGGCGCATATCTCTTCCCCTTAGCCTCGATAGACAAACTCACGGTGATTGTTAGGTAAGAATATAAGTACCTCACTTCCAACAAGGCCAAGATAGTTCATCTCCTTGAGAAATTTGAGGTCAAGGAATCTCGTACACTGATTGAACGGTAGTAGGAGATTGGTGTCTCTCTTGATAAATACCTTAATAAGCTAAACACACCTTAGTGTTTTTATAGGCTCCCTCATACGGTATATGAGCTTTGTATGTTGCTTTGTAGGTCAGATGATAAAGATCACCTAAGAGGAGCGAAAGAATGGATTGGATAAAATCTAGGTCGCACAAGGGGAAACTGGTAGCTACTAGAGGCATCATGGGGTATTTATCATTAAGGGAAAGAAAAAAGGCAGGTTTAAGACCAACCTCCTGACTCGCCCACCACCAAAGCTCAGAAAAATGAGGGGGAAATTTTTCTAGTTGTTGGAGACAGAGTCGTTTCGCCAACTGCGGGGAAGCGAGTGTCCATAAGCCTCTCGTTGGCAAGGCTTCGTCACCCTAGCCTTCCTTATGGTCCAACTCTGGTTTCAATGCCATCCAATTTATTGGCTATTACCTTCGTTTATTTAAAAAGTTCCTCAGCGATTATAAGGCCCTCAATACTAACTTGTCCTCCAAGCTCACTGGCATGAAGGAGAACCACTTGCTAAAGGGAAGATGTTGGAACATGTTGATCGGGAGCGACGAGACTAGGTTGAAAAAGACTTGAGGGCTAAGCTCAAGAAATATGAGGAGGATTACTCCAAAAGCTAAAAGTTGCTTGAGAACTTACAAAAAGAATAGGAGTCCTTGGCGGGAAAGATGGCCACTACAGAGACCAAATCAATAGAAATCATCACCAAAGAGGAGTCTTTGAGGTTATCCTTGGAGGATGCCTTCTGATCCAAAAAGGAATTGGAGGGTGAGTGTCCTAGCTCAAGGATGACTTGGTGGAGATCTTTGACACTTATTGTAGGCGTACTGATCAGTGGTTTTTCCACATTTATTTACAATTGATTGTAGTTATAGTTTCTTTATTTTGTCAAGTGTTTTGTTTCATTCTTCTATGTTTTATGTGTTGGTTGTGTATTTTTTTATTTTCAGGCTCAGAGGAATAAAATCAGAAAAATCAGTGCAAATAGTGTAAATTCGGAGTTTCGGAGGGAGTCTAAAAAACCAAGCTACATGGTGCTTGACACAGCCACCCGTGTCACCTGACACGGGCCGTGTCAGGAGAGAACGCAAAGATGCAATTTGGAAAAATATGCAGAGGCTGACATGGGTGCCTGTGTCAGGAGGTCTAGGCAAGATGTGTTTTGTGAAGCAATGGACAGAGACCGGCAC